GCTCCTGCTGCTGCTCCTGCTGCTGCTCCTGCTGCTGCTGCTCCTGCTGCTGCTCCTGCTGCTGCTGCTGCTGCTGCTGCTGCTGATGTTAGTGTTAGTGTTGCTGCTGATGTTAGTGTTGCTGCTGCCGCTGTTGTTGTTATTGTTAAAGCAAGGGGCGCAGATCACACCAGATGCCCATGCGCCAGCGCTCCTACCCGCAGAAAACAGGGACAGGGTCGTCGATTCCAAACGGAATGGGCAAGACGCTCCATGCAACAGCGCTCCCACCCGTCAAAAAAAAGCGAGATGGTCGTCGATTCCAAACAGAATTTGCAAGACGCGCCGTGCGCCAGCGCTCCCACCCGCCCAAAACAGCCAGAGGGTCGTCGATTCCAAACGGAATTCTCAGGACGCTCCGTGCGCCAGTGCTCCCACCCGCCCAAAACAGCGAGAGGGTCGTCAATTCCAAACAGAATTTGCAGGATGCTCCAGCGCTCCCACGCGCCCAAAACAACGAGAGGGTCATTGATTCCAAATAGAATTCGCAGGAGGCTTCACGCGCTAGCGCCCTTTTTATGAAATCGACGATTTTGGAAGGGTCTGGAAGAGGAGTTAAAGTTTAAAGGCGCTTCGACGTTAAATTTCTGAAGCAACCACAGTTTTCGGAGCCTCCGGAAGATTCAAACTTAGTGCGCGACCGAAATGTTTCGCGCCGAAAGAAGCTGAGGGCCGGCGGGAAACGACATCTGCCAACGAGAACCCCACATATATGCGGGGAATAACAAGAACAACACTCTGCACGCAAACCATCGGAAAACACGCATGCGTAAAGCCTCAAGTGGGAAATGCCGCAGACCTCGGGCAGAAAGGGAGATGCATCAGAGGCTCGAGAAGGCTTGATTGCCCCTCTTGGGATATTGATGACTGCAGGAGCGGAAACAATTGTCGCTGAGCCCGGCGTATGATCATGCAAGGCACAAATGACACGTCGCATCCTGACCATGGTCAGCTCGTCAGCTCCGCAGCGCCAGAATCAAAAGTACATGACTAGTACTTCTCAGCTGTGGCGCAACGACATCCGTTGACATACTGATGACGCAAATTGATCCCATGGCAGCGCCCAAATCGGGATGCTAACGGTTTCAACACCACGAACTAAATGAGCAAAGCATGTCCATTGCCGTGCGGACAAGCCGCCATCATGGTCAGCAGCGAGACCACATCAACCGTGGGCAACTTCCACTCCATTTCGCGTCCAGTGCTGACCTGGAAAGCCCCTGATTCATGGCAGCCATGTTGCTGCAAGTGGTCGCGGAACCGGGGAACATGCAATGAAGAAGCTCCGTGCGGCTGTCAACGGAAAATGCGTTCCTTGAAACCAATGTAGCACGGTCTGGATCACAACCAGTGGGCCCAACGTCCTTACGACTCCCAGAAAGCCACAAAGCAAACTTTTTCAACGCACGGGCAGCATGACAACATCACAAAGCAGAAATGCGATCTGAGCTTCAATGCTATGAAGCTTCTGAAGCGATTGCTGGAAATGCTGGATGCCCTCATCTCGCAATACCCAGGGTCGGTCCCTATTGCAAGGAACCTTCAGGCATGGCATCTTGCAAGTTGATGCGTAACCCATAGAACGGTTCAACTGTCTGACTCACCAATGCCTGCCCTGATTCAGGAGCGGCCCAGGACTCCAGCATTCTGCCAGGCCAGAATGCCGATTCGCCACAATACCTGCAAGGATGGATTAATGAGTATGGATGACCTTTAGACACGCCTGATGGCGAATGAAACTTCAGAGCTACGGAACTTCACAACTCCATCCCAAAAGCCACGCATGTAGTATCATAGTTGCAGGTACGTTGCGAAGTTGGATCGGCTCCGACCAAGGTTCGTCTAACGTATCCCAATGCGCGAAAGAGCAGCTCACCCATGCGATCAACGCCTTCAAAGGTCATCTGCATGCTTTGCAAACCATCAGCTGTAAATTTGCCAACCAAGCATCAATGAAGCAGACGTGAATAATGACCTGATCTGATTGCTGCAGAATGGTAGCGTGCTCGGCCCCGTCTTGACAATTGTTGCAACGAGCGTCGGCAAGGCTGGCGCAAACATATCGGAGCCAAGGAACTGCCATTCCAGGAGGCGAAAAGGTGACATGATCTAAACAAAGATTACCCTGACCGATGGCACAAATTTGTCATGCGTCTAACAGTCCTGCATTCCTCTTTGGCATCCATCTGGTGGTGGACCGTATTGAGCCATACGACTCCACGTCCTGGACATGATGCATGCATTCGCATGCCATCGTTTCACACCAATGTCCAGGTGAAGCATGTTAAAGGTACTGAGACGGGCAACCTGCGGATTGCCTCGACCTGCCTAAACACACAAGATGATTTCCATGAGAGTTGTCCTGTTCCACTCGCTGGTCTCCAGGCATGACGCGCCCACTACCTCGGTCTGCAGCCCTGTGCACCGGAAAGCAGAGCTTCCACAAAGGCCTTGCCGAAGCTATCGTGCATGAACGGCCTGACCTCAGGACTTCGCACCAAAAACATGACACTCCAAAGGCATGCCATTACCTTCTCACATCCTGCTGGAATCAGAGGTATACCGTCAGTTTGAACATTTCCAACACGACGATAGACTGCACAAGAGCAACACACTTGCAAACGCACTCACCAGTTGCTCTGTGCGCCATGTTTGCTGTGAGCCTGGCATATGCAGCCACCCAAACATGGCTTAGAGCTAGAGCCAAAGATTCGAAGGGTGGGATCCTACAAGTAGAGCAAACTTGAGACGTGACCACGCTTGCCAAAGGCTGCCCGAAGAAGCTGGACATGCCTTTTTCGCACTGCTGTTGAAACCTTCTCCGCGGCATTATCATAGTCTTGAAGCCTCATGACAAGATGGCATGAACCATAACGGTGATACAACATCTTGCAGCGACATATCACCTCGCCTTGAGGTATCTTTTTGTCAACAAGCAAGACTCCACGCATGTGATGCCCCACCTCAGCTTTGCTGTAAGATGCTCGTGCAGCTGCTGCCTGCTGCTCACTCATGAAATTGTGTCAACAAGCCACTCTTTTCCACTGTTATGTGTGCTTGAGATCCCTGATCGCTGCTTGGCCTGCTCTTCGGTCAACACTGAGAGAATGCCATATACGACCGGCACCTGTGCCAAGCCAAATGCGAAACCACAACACACCGCATCGCCCTGTTGCATTCTACGCTTTGTGCACTGCCAGTGCCTTGTAGTCCAAGTTCAGGCGCATGATTCCTTGTGTCACTGCCTCGCTGACATACTCAAAATGCATTGACTGCCCCTTGATGAGACATCCGATGCAAATGATTCCGTCAAATCTGCGCGACTCTAGAAGAACTTGTGCAGCTGCTGGTAGCTCATACGACCCAGCAACGTATTCGATCGATATGTCACGCACGTTACAAGAATGCAACGCTTCTTTTGCCCCAACAACCAGGTTGCGGGTGACAAGCGAATTCCAGCGCGCGCTGATAATTGCAATCTTCAACCCAGATCCATCAAACGCCGGCAAATCCAATCCACGAATGCTGGGAATGCTGTCTGGGTTGGGCGCATTAGGAAACTGCGGAAATGCTTGTCGATGCTGAATGATTTGCTCGACAGTGATGACAGGAATGCCATGAGTTCTCCCAAATTCTCTCGCACCCTGCCATCGCAACATTGACCCGTCTTCTTGGGTCAACTCCGTCAAGCACGCAACCGGCATGCGACCACTCATGCGGCAAAGATCATATGCTGCCTCTGTATGGCCGGGACGACCCAAGACACCGTCCGTATGTGCCGCGACTGGAAACATGTGTCCAGGCTTTGAAAACGAGTCTGCCGTATTCGAATGGTTACACAATGCACGTGCTGTAGCAGCTCTGTCAGCGGCAGACAAACCTGTGGACGATCCAGGCAAATAGGTAGTGGACACATACGCCCCGATGGCAAATCGGTTTGTATTGACGTTTGTGGCAGGATACAGTCCAAACCGTTGTAATGCATCTGGACTGGCAACTGCATACACAATCCCGGAACCTTGACGAATGGCGAATGCCATGGCCTGTGTTGTTGCCTGGTCTGCTGCAAATACCAAGTCACACTCGTTCTTGCGGTCGGCCCCATCCGCAACAATCACAAATTTCCCTGCGTAGAATGCATCAATGGATTCCTTGACGGATGCCTCGCATAGCGGCAGGGCTCTTCAAAGTTCAGCTGTAATTAAGGATGAGAGTGGGACTTCCTGCCAAGAGTGCTTAAACTCCTGCCCTCATGCTTCCCGAAAGAGTGTCACTGAAAGACTGCATGACCATTCACGGAAGCAAGGCACGCCGTCGGTGGTTGATGACATTGACATGCTTGGCGCTCGCGCAACCACAATACTTGACTTGAATGTGTATAACCACTCCATACATCTGCTTAGCTGCAGTACAACAGCTCTGTCTGCATTGAACTGTACTCAGACAAACAAAAGACGCTTGAAGAGGTTGCGTTAACCAGCTGTTCACATTCAACAGAGCTTGTGGTGGTTTCTGCACGTCGGAACAACATGGCAATCTTTTCCTCCATCGCGGTTTCATGAATCATGCTACGGATGTCAGACCACTTCTGCAATCCTGACAAAGTTAGCACAGCAACCCCTGCCTATGTTTGAAGGCAGTTATATAACCCTTTGCAGAAGCCGATGGTAGGGCTTCGAATTCGCAACTCACTGTACGATCAGTGCATGCAGAACCCGCAACCCATGCGGCTCATTGAGTTCCGGCACTCGTCAGCAAAGGATAGACCGCCACCTTCACAGCACCTGAACTTTCTTGACACAGCCTAACACATCTCACAAATGAGAAAGCGCTGGCTGAGCACCGGAGTTCTTACCGACGAGCTGCCCTTTGTGCCAAGTGCGCCTGCTAGCTCCGGCAAGCTATCTCCAAGCTCCTCCTGGCCAGTGCACTGCATTCCAACTCAGCTTAGTGACAGTGACCCAGTAAGCATCAATCCGAATTAGATTTGAATGTGCGCCAAAGTGCGGAAGAGGAAAACACACTCTCACGGCGAGATGGCCGGCCTTGAAGTAATCATCTGACATTGCAACAAGCACTTGTGTATGAAAATGTTCGAACCACCGACCGCGACTGACCAAAACGACAACAACGACTGCAGCCATCACCAACCTTTTCCTCTCTGCAAACATTCTCCACAAGCCCAAAACACCAGAAGGTTCCTGAAGGTTCATTGGACCAATTAGCTTGTGTGTTATGCCTAGCAAAGCAGCAGGACATAGTATACACCTGTGTCCTGGAGGAGATGCGGTGGGCGAAGAATCAGGAGTCCAGAGCCAGGAAGCTGTCGAGATCGTCTGCGAAAACTCATCTCGACGACCAGGACCTGCAGCTTGGCTGCTGGCTGATAGTTGGTCGACCTATCTGTCTGCGCAAATGCATGTCCGCTGCCGAAAGACCTCAGGCTTCTCTTCTTGCATGACACGCGGAGCTATTGGGATAGGCAATGGACGAGTGACGGCCAAGGCTTCAAAAGAACGGTTTCAGTCCGCGGTTGCCCTGCTGGGCACAGCAGCCAGCACTGAAACTCCGACAAAGCAATACGAAAACCCTGCAGAAAACTCTGCGGGAAAGGATGGGAAAGGAGGAAACTGAAGCAACCGGCCAGCTGAGCAGCTGAGCGGAGTTCATTGATGTTTTTTGTGAATGTATCCATGTCGCTCAGGGTCGCATACGAACCCAAGTTTTTGTTTATGAGGGTTTATGGTCACACTTTTTGACAAGAAGAGCTTGTGGCCCTTGCAATGGAAAATTGGAAATTGCAAGGCAGAACCCTAAAACAGACAGCAAAGCAGGCGAGCTGGCTTACATTTACTGTAGCTTGCGAATGCCAGGATTTTGGCAGCTCTGATTCTGCCACTCGCCTTCTTGTTTCCAGTCAGAGAGGTTTGATCTCTGCTCAACTCTTCTTCCAGCGGGCTACAGCAGCCAGCAGCATGAACAATGTAAAGAGAAACACAAGCGAAACGCACAGAAGGGCACAGAAGCTCAGGCGGTGCTTTTCCGCACATCTGGAGGCCTTGCCAAGATTCACCTGCTTCACACGGTGCAGCAATACACTGGTCTGCTCCGGGCTGTAGCATGGAAACCATAATGCAATCGTTGCCTGAGGCCATTCCTTGCGAAGCCGCCGCATCATGAATATGTTCCATGTGAAATACGAGCTGGCAGAGTCATATGGAGGATCCAAAAAAAACAGTTGACGTTCATGACAATGAGGCGGGTTGCGGACAAGCTCTTCATAGGAATTGGCTTGCACTACCTTGATCTCAGCTCGCGATGCAGGGTCCAGCTTCAATATACTCCGACGTAAGTCTCTTACGGCTTCCGTCGACAGCTCGAAGAAGACTGCCTGCCCGACTTGAGAGAGGTGTCCAAACATCTACTCCTACACAACCTTTATGCCTTTTCAAGGTAACGAGAAAAACGTGCCTCATCTTGACATCTCAACCACTGCAGGGCCCAAGCCGCAGAGCCAAGATAGTGCTGGGAGTCCACTTCCGCACTCTCCAGTTTTGCCAGGGAACTGTGCATTTGAGTATAAACATCGTGGGACAAAGCCTCACGACGAACTCCTTCAACTACTCGGCTAATTCCGTCTTTATGATTGCAGAACACCTGTGATTCGTCGGACAAGAGGTCATACAGGCCACCACCAGCATGTGCGTCTATGTAAGTAAATGGCTGACCTGGCACATCGGCAACAACGATTCCAAGTTAGGCTGTCAACCCGCAACAAGCGCCGCCAAGATACTTGCTGTGACGAAGTGACGCAACAGTGACAGCAGGACGGTATGCTTCAAGCAATCCTCTGGACCACCTGCTAAGAACCTGCAAGGCGGACTCGATGCTGAGCAAAAGCTGCTGATAAAACTACTTGCTGATAACAATGACAATGCAAGCTTCGAGGCCTGTGGACATATTTCCGAACATGTTGAATACGATTCGGCATGCAGTCCTCCAACGTTGAATCTGTTGTGGCACAATGTGTGGGGTGGAGGTCAGAGGCTCTACACACGCTCGCAAAGATTGGAACATCAAGGGGCAAGGAAACCCATCATCGCTGACGGAAACGCTCTGACACCAAAATTGATCCCTACAGGCATGAGATGCTTGCGAAGTGGATATCAGCTCCACACCCGGTACCGCAAGTGGCAAATGAGCAACCCTACAGAATCAGAACTTTGAAGTCCAAATGCTGCAACGAAACATCTCAAGCCCACAAATCAGAGACTTTTTAGGTGTAAGACCCTTTCAACACAAAGCCTTTCGCATTCTCCCACCTCCTGAAAACAAAAGCCTGGGCCCCCGTCCCCAAGAACCCTAAGCCCTGAACTCGATGGCCCCATGCTGCCGATCAACCCAGAACATGGAGGAAGGAGGCGCCTTGTGCTGCAAAAAGGAAAGTAGGAAGAGGTGTGGGGAAGGATGGGAAGTGGGGCAAGGGGGGTGAAGCTGCCAAAAGTCCGCAGGGAATGTCTTTTGTCTCAGTGCGCTAAGCTTTAAGGGAAAGCAGGCTTTAAAACGTTACGACGCCTCATTTCTGGCGGAGCTGTCCTGTATTTCAGAGTCCATCAAATCATCAAGCAAGTCGAGCGCGCATGCCCACTGAGCGCAAGCGTCGCAGGCATGGACAGCCGCTGAGTAAGCTACTCCGTTGGACATACGACGGTCGTCCATCTGCCTGAGGCATGAAACAGCCAATAGCCATTGACTTCCCTTCGCACATGCATTTATGCCAGCACCAAACGTGATTGAGTCTGACCGTGATCCCAAGAAGCATCCTGTACTCTGCACTATCAAAGCATGCTTCCAACTCTTCTCACACGCAGCGATGACTGAATTGCAGGTGTGAAGATCAGGCTGCATGTTGGCTCTCTGCGTTTGTGATAGCAAGCTGAAGCAATGAGACCAACGCTCTCCTTCATTTGTGCTGGCGAGAGCGTTGCAAGAAATGATATCCAGCTGAATGTTGACAACAGCAGCATCTATAAACATGCTGGACGCCTCTATCCAAGCCTGCACCGTCCTGCAACTTGCCAAGCAACCATTATATGTTGCTGTATCAGGCTGCAGCCCACAACTTCGCATCCCGCGTCGCAACTGCAGGGCCCAAGACCAGCTTCCAGTTTTTTTGAAGGAAGGTAGCACTGAATTAAATAGCACCAAGTCGGACTGAACCATGCCGCCAGCCAAGGCCAAGGTTTGCAAAGCTCGTTGCCAATCGTCAGCTCGCGCGAAACCGCTTACGGCCATGCTGCACAGCACTGCATCCAGGTGGCCAAGGCGTGCTGCAGCGCTCAAAATGCTCATGGCGCCCTGCCAGCGACATGATCTTGCGTGTGCACGTACGGAGCTTCCCAACTCCGCAAATTCCACTTCAAAATTCTTCTCCAGCATACTCAGCTGAAGCCTGGCGCAAACTTGTTACCAGCTCATTGACTGAATGTGAGCCGATATGAGCCTACAGCAAAGCAATTTCCACCATAGGCTAGTATGCGCTCTAGCCTATGCAAGCCCGAACACACTAACACCTTGTAGGACCGAACTGTAGCTAGGCAGGAAAGGCGTCATGTGTGCACAACCAGAAGAACACAAGCTCAAGAAGATCAACCTAATGTCCAGATTGCTTCAAAACAACTACTGCGCGCCAGACGAACCGCTGTGGCTGCGAGACACGGTGATTGATACTTTTCTTGATTCCTACGTTTGCTTCCGCATGCCTCTGTAAGAGACGTCTTAGACATCTCAGGCCTCCTACTGAGTGACACGACACGTGCGGCCGCAAGATAGCACACTCTGGAAAGGAATTGTAGCATGTAGATCACCATCTGATCAAGCAATCGAGCAGCATAATCTTGTGGCAAGTGCAAACTAGAGCCTCTCACTCCTTCCACTACTGTCTTCCAGGATATGGAGCAAGATATCAAATAAACGTAAAGGCCGTCTGCAGCCACCACAGCACTGCATCGACACACACATAGCTGACCTCGATCAACGCATGTCATTTCTGCATGTCCATTGGCATGCCATTGATGATTTTGCCGGCTTACTACATACAAGCGCAAATGCTCAGTCTAGCCATCTGATTTCTGCAATCCGGCCTGCTGTTTGGACAGATTCAGTCAGCCAAGAGTTTAGTTTGTGGACCAGTCTTCCCAACGTAGGTCCTGCAAAGCTGATGTCCCCATCACCGGATGTCTCCAGTTGGAAGCTCATGTTGCTATATCACTGCGTAAGTACTGCAAATCACTGCGCAAGTACGAGTAGCCCTAACCTCCTTCTGAATGAGATATCG